GTTACTTTCTGCTCAAGCTTGTTACGTGATGTCGGCCGATGTAAACACACCATACGATTTACGCCGGAAAAAACAATAACATACTGAGCATCGAGTCGAATATTATTTCGTTACGAAATATCTAAAATATTATACATGTCTAATATATTCATTTTCTTCAGTAATAAACTAATTTTGATGGGTAGACTATTACCGCATGAATTAGCGGTTAGTCGATGGATAAAAGTAATCTTATTTTCCATCGAAAAAGTATCAATCTGCATAATTTAATCTACTGTTATTTTGACGAGGAATATGAAATTCGTATAATTTTAACAGATCGAGAAAACGATATAAAATCTCCGCGAAAAATGTGGCGACTCATTTTTATCCTGACTTACTTAACCAAATTTTACTTCTCTGGAAACGAAAGGATTTGGAAAAAATAATACTATATTACGTGATTTTCATCGAAAAATATATAAGGATAAATTTTGTTCTTTTAAAATTTCGGTTTAACATTAAATTTAACAATTCTTTTTGAATCGAATATAATGAACCATTTAGTTTCATTGAAAACTAAAGGATTAAATAATTTATATCTAACAATTACAGTTTGCGATTACTAATCAACTTATCAATTATTCACTGAGTTTTACAGTACACGTAATATATATATCCACAAGCGTGAAGAAAACCAAGAGATAAAATAGTAATAAAGATCGATATCACCTGAGCAAATAAAAAATAATTGCACGCGTATTAAATCTGTATATTCTCTTGCTTACATTTTTTCCAAAGAGCATTTATTTTACAAAAAATTTTCGACTTTAATTAATTTCTACGATATTAAAATATAGGATCTACAATAATTATAGGACATTTTGTACACATGAAAGTTTTATGTGAGCGAAAAAATATATTCAAAACAGATTAAAAATTTTTTTAAATTGATGTGTTAATCTTTATTACCTTTGTAACGTATTATATTTTCAAAATGAGAGTTTATTTTTACAATTTTATAAAATACAGAATTTAAAGTATCATAGAAAAAAATACATAAAAATGTAAACAAAAATAAAAAACGTAAATAAAAAAATATTGAAAAAATATATAAATCGATACATATAAATTTCTATTTTACTTATTTGAAGCAAGAAAATTCACGGAAATCATGATAGCAACGTGTCTCGCAGAGAAGGCTAAAATGGGATTTAGTTCTCGCCAGATCGTCCTGCACTAATATAGCGAAGTAAATTCAGTAATAAATCCCATGAACTCGGAGTGAATTCGCGCAGACTCCCCCGAGAATGTTCAGCTCGCTAACCAAAACGGTCCGACACGCTTTTAATAACTATAGCAATCTATTCCTCTCGTGCTGTTACGTGACAAAGCATGGGTACCGCCGAGGCTCGCACGTGCGCGAGGCTATTACACGTACGCGATCGTGCGCGATTTACGCGCGGCTCGCGCGTAAATTACATGTGTTAAACGGATCCCGGAGCATTGCATATTCGTCGCGTAAACAATGCCATCAGCGTTATTCACTGTCATACGAACGATTCTGCCGACCGAATAAGCTCGGAACGTAGGTATTTAAACCAACAGTTTTTCCGCGAACGATTATCGGCGCCAACATTATTATTAGCTTCAACCGAGTGTGCGTTCAACACTGAATATTTCTTCCGACGCGAGGACAATTTGTCTTTTGCGTTATGTCACTCCAACGGACAAGGCTCGCGGTTATTTACGATTTACGGAACTATGGAGCATTGAACCGACGCAATGGAAAAGTGCAATTTGAGTCAATAGATTCGATTAATAAGAAACGTAAAAGGGAAAGCTTTTAGAAGTGAGAGAAAACTCTTAACAATTTGTCGTTACGTCTTTCATTTAATAAATGCAATTCAAATATTCTTAATATCGAGATGAAAAACTCGAGTACATTGAATCTTTATTTTTTTCTTCGATCTATGAAAAGCTATTTTATCGCTTCGATAAAATTTCGAGAAATTCATCAGTTTAGTACACTGAAAAAAAAAGATTGGCTGTTGCAGCAAATTAGATGGTAAAATATGGCATAGCATTTTTAATTGGCTGCAGCAGCCAATTTTTGGTTGCATTAGCCTATCCGCAATATCAGTATAGGATTTCGATAGGCTAACACAATCAAAAATTGACTGATGCAGCCAATTAAAAATGCTATGCCATATTTTACCATCTAATTTGCTGCAACAGCCAATCTTTTTTTTCAGTGTATTACAGCAGAATTATTTTTGTGCTAATATCGCTGTCCTTGCACTTCAAAGCTGTTATCTACGCCTGTCTGAGCACGAACGTGATTCGTCACTTAGGAATGCGCAAAAAAATACCCGAAGCCACAGACGAAGCGTAACGGTAGAGTTATAATATTTACGTAATAATCGTGTTATGATATTATAACTTGACCAAATAAATACGTAATATGCTTATTTTCAATACGACGCAATGTAACACATTCGTGTAAAAAAAATGACAGTCACAAACACTTATTAGCACATCGTTTAGCACAAAGTGTAGAAGACGACGCTCACAATCAGTCAGACTATCAGAGTTTGAAAACTTAATTTAAAAATTCATTTTTCGATTAACTTCAGAAAAAATATATCTCGACTATTTTGAATTACAATTTACTTACTAATTAACGGCAACTCCCCATGTAATAATTATATTGCGTAATAATAGTATTATAATAAAAAAGATATGAAAAGAGATACATAAAAAAAACCTTGGAGAAATCAACAGCTGTATCGGCGCCGGCAGCAGGTAAGCCGAAGTTAAGTTACCTTTGCAGCTCGCGCGCTGGTAAAAGAGAAAGGGCAGGAGGAATAGTGGGACAAAGGGACGGGTGTGCAGAGTCCGTGGCAAAGGAGAGAGTTCAGGCGAAGAAGAGGAAGAAAGAAAAGAGTAACAAAGTGACCCATATGCTTTGGGGGGCCCATTTGGCCCGCCACGTCGAGCAACAAAAGTGGCCGCGCGAGAAGCCAATCGTTAAAAAAGGTTGGATGTATCAAGGTGCATATGGCGCACCTTGATTCCCGTCCAAGATACTTTTAGATATGTAAGAAGACTACAGTTTTCAGAGATTAGGATCTTTCATCCTTGGAATACCAAGCTATTCGCCAATTAGAAAAAAAAATATTTCATGTTTAAGTATGCAAAATAAAATTAATTATTTATATCATGCAACGATTAAAATCAATAAGACAAAAGAAAATTATTCACGTACATTCGTTAATAGATAATTGCCGGTATAATAAAATACTATCTTTGTATCTCTTTTCTGATAATTCATTAGAGTCATTCATTAGAGTCGTTATTACGGTTTTTTATTATCCTTTTTTCTCACATTTTTCACCACACCTGCTACTTAAATAGTCGACTTAATACGAGAACATAAATCAACACGCCTAAAATTCCCAAAAGCTTCTTGGAAATATCGGGATGCAGAAAAATTATTCCCACTTACCGCATGCTTTTTAATATGTACGGCGTGAGGCGCAAGAGAAACGATGACGTGCACCGCGATGGAAAGTGAAGGAGGAGACGGGAGATGAAGGAAGGTGGATACTAAAACGCGCGAGAGCCAGTGGCGAAAAAGAGAGGCCCGGTTGAGCAGGGCGCGGCAGCGTCGCCGGTAGTTAACTCTGTGTTTCTTAAGCCCGTTTTGCACCACGCAAAAATCCAGCGTAACTAACTTGTGACAAGTTGCGTCAACCCGTTACATGCACGTTTCTCTGAGCTGATATTACTCGACGTGGAAATGAAATTAATAACTTTTCATACACAATTGTACACACAGAAAAATATTTATTGTACGCAAGTACTAATTACTTGTTTCAAGTATTTCAAAAGTTACGCAAATCATAAATTTATCACAAACACCAAATTTATATTCTAAATTTTTATTCCCAGTAAGTTTAATACTTCAATCAAGATTATTAAATTAAAACAAATTCAATTTTTTATTATGATAAAGTCGTTTCTGCGATAAATTTTTATCAATCTTCAAAAGAAAAAATTCTTGTTTTGAGTACATATAATGAGATTTTCTAAAATTTGTAACAAATATATTTTAGGATTATTATCAAGAAAATATTCTCTGTAAGATAACCGTTACTTAAAAGAAAGAAAATTAATTAAGTAATCACTTTTCTTAGTAATAGAATGATATTTTTTTGTGTACGTTGATTATACTGTGGACAGATATAATGTTCTAAATAACAGTTAATCACAATGCTCTTCAATAATTAGAACTATTACATTAAACGTTGAACTCATTAAATGCTTTAATATCATCATTAAACTATTAATTATTGTATTACATAATTACAAAATATAATTTAATATTTCAATTTTCTATTTTAGAAAGAACTTTGACGTTTTACGCTATTATCCATCATTGGCATCGGTCAACCCAGATTCGTCATACAAACGATTGATGCTTTTCGAGCGTGTAAGAATCGCGTATAAATTAGAGAGAAGGTTCTACTTCCGTATAATTGATTGCCGCAACGATTGCACGTACAACAGCTATGTTGCTGTATGCAATCTTGTAGAAATCTCCGGAGAGTTGCAATACCGTGTGCCGTAATTGAAGTCGTGAAATGCAAAACACTTATAAAATTATTCCGCGAAAACTCAAGTTATGAGATAATATATTTCTTTTTTTAGCACGAATACTCTATTAAAGAGCGATTTCATTCAGATAGATAATGCAATCTCTTGTGCACACATTTAACATTTAATATAAAAAACATACAATATGATCAATATAACGTAATATACAGGGTGTTAGTTAAATATGTTGCCATACTCAACAGAGCGATTCTTTGGTTTATTTCAAGTAAAAAAGTCCATATAAACACGTGTCCTAAATGGCTTAGTTTCCGAAATACAGGTGAATGTTCGCAAATGTTTGACGAAACGATAAATCCTTTGGATTATTTCCTTTGGGGGCATCTGAAATCATTGGTTTATACCACTCCAATTGAGAATGAGAATGATTTGAGGAATCGAATAGTTGCTTCATGCGAGGCAATACGTAACACACCTGGTATCTTTGAGCGTGTACGTCAATCTTTGAGAAGAAGGCTCGGATGTATCATGGCGCAAGGTGAACATTTTCAACAATTCATCTAATTGTTTTATTTCATCAGAAGAACTGAAGCCTGTGCGTTGTGTGTGTTTTTGTTTTTCTGTTTTTGACTAATTCAAGCTGTTTCTTTCAAATAAACGGATTATTACTACACGTTTAAATTTTTTTATTTCGGAAACTAAGCCGTTTAGGACACATGTTTATATGGACTGTTTTACTTGAAATAAACCAAAGAATCGCTCTGTTGAGTACAACATACTTAACTAACACCCTGTGTATATATATATATATATATATACATCTGTATCACGTAAATATACAACTACAATTGTATATTATTTATGCGATGACAGATGATGATTTTGTTACAAGTTTTGTTATATAGTCATAGCTGTTACGTACACAATTGCGAGACAGATGAAGTCTTGCATTGCACGACTTCAATTCTCGCACGATGTAAGATGGGTCTTACGTCGCGCAGCCGTTCGTTCCAGCCAGTGTGCGTGTATGCGTATGCATGACGCGCGCGCGCGCGCATCTCGTAGTAGAGTACTACGGAGATCCGGAGAGAGAAAAGGCGAGAGCCAGGCGGACAAAGCACGTGACGTCTGGGTTCCCGCCGTCCTTGCCTACTACCACGAAGACTGGCGAGACTACACCGTAAGGGAACGACGGAGAGCAGAAGAATAATATATACGTCTCTCGCACCGAAAGAGAGAAAGAGGGGAGGCACTCGTTCGCGACCGACCGCCTGCGGTCGGAAAGAGAAAGATAGAATGAACGGAGAATGGGGAAAGGCAAAGGGCAAGAGGGGCGCGAGACTGGCGAGATGCGATCCAACCTCGAACGTGGCGTTGAGAGTTCATGGAAATGAATGCAGCTCATACACCAACGGTGATTCCCGGCGCAGCCTCTCCACGAGGAGATGGCTCTCAATGAGAACCGTGAGGAGCTCTCGTCTAGTCTGGTCTCGCCAGTCGCGAGATTCCCGCTCGAGAACTTGCAGGAAAATGGGATGAAAATGTTTGTTCGTTGAAAATTAACAAGTTTGCGGTTTTGGCTGTCGTCATTGGTTAACTCGTTTATTATATAACTCGAGTAATCAAATTATAGAGGGGAATTATTCATATTTCGATTGGAACCTTCCATGTTTGAGTGTCAAAAGCGTGAGATTATATTTATTGATATAATAGTTAATTTAAATTATGTTATGTAATATTAATATATTCAGAGTGTCTTATGTGTCTTTTAAAATCACATTCAATAAAAATAGCCGTTAAAATACATGAATATAAATAAAACCGTTCTTTTAGATTACATCAATGTATTATTGGCGGAAGATCGTAGTACGATATAAACTATTTATCACGCATGAAATGTGTAGGAAAATCGAATACAGGATAAGAGGATTGGCGGAGTCCATCGGTTCGGGCAATCGATCGAAGCCGGCCTCTCCCACGCGGCGTGAAACGCAATTACGCGCGCAAAATGCTCTCTTTAGCCGTGGCACGGCAGCCTCGAATCGAGTTTCGTTAAAGGCACGAGAAGAGCACAGAGGCAGTTTATTTTTATTTCTGTCTGGCGAGAGCTAAATGAAAATGGGTCGAGGCGTCTGCGCTCATTTGCGCGTGCCCTCCTTTTGTTTCGTTTCCGATGCGCACTGTGCCCTCGTGTCTACGCGCGCACAAAAGGCCCGAAAATATCTCATGAGAAACGCACGATTATCCCATACACATCTCACTTTCCCAAATAAAAAATACCGCTAATGCTCGAAAATTAAAATAAATCAGATTATATGAAGAAATCAATAGTTACTTTGCTTTAACTTTAACCCTTTGTAAACAGATTGGATCTTTTTTTACCCAGGTGAAATTTTACTCTCAAAATTCCTTGGCACAAAATTTAATTTGTATTAAATAAAGATTTTGACATTTAAGTTAAATAACTATTTGGTAACGTAGCAAAAAAATTTTTAATTTTTTTCTAGATTTTTTGAAAGCCAAGAACGCATTAAAAAAAATTAGGCTAAACAAAAACAGACTCGGAGCACCTCCAGAAATAAAGTAAAAATGTGTGGCTACGAAGGGTTAACTTAAAAAATTTTTACATATATTTAGTGTAATAATTAAAAATCCAAAGAATTAAAATGTTCAATAAAAGTTTAATGGAAAATTAATTTCGGCAATATCTAATTTTAAATGTGAAGAAGAAATTCTAAAGTGAGGAGTTAAGTGATATATAACCCGACGAGTAACCAACAGAACGATAAAACGATTCAAATACAAGATCGTTCACAGGGAACAAAAAGAGCAAATGATTATCCTTTAAGTTTATTTGTGCGATCGGATTCGACGAAAGCGTGGTCACGCCTTTCTCCATTACGGAAAGTAACCAGTAAGAAGAAGTTCGGAGCAATCGAGCGTTCGTATTTGGAGACTGTGGGCTTGTTAATATTGCCAAAGAGCCGCCGCTCTTTGAGACGTCTCTCTTAGTGGGCCAGGGCTTCGCGCGAAATTCACCGGTCCGGGTTTGGCCTTCGTAGCCATGCCAAGAAAGAAGGGACAAGATCGACGACGAAGGCAAGCGGGATGGAGATAGAGGGAGCGAGGAGCGGAAAGGGGGGCGAAAAAAAAACCAGGACCGAAGGGAGCGAGGGCACGAGAGAAATGCGTGGGAATTGAACCATGTGGTCGGCCGACTGGCTCGCGAAATATCGCGTTGCGAAAGTACGCATACACATACAGAGGCAACGAAACACGTACACGAATTACCGGTACACGTGGAGGCGGTGCGAACGAAACCGGTGCACGTATATACCATGTTTCGAGGTCACGGGGAGTTTCAGAAAGAATCACGCGCGAGATAATTAGACCGCCTTTCATGAAGTAACGTCGTTTGGTAATAACGAGGTCCCGAGCCATCGAGTAAATGGCGCTCCGAACAAAGCTCGCGATTTAATGTATTTATACCGTTAATAAAATGTTTCCGTATACACAATGAAGTAGGCTTTACTTCGCGCGCGAAAGTAAAATAAAAAGTCCAATATTATACAAAGTGTCCAAAAATTTACGGCTCAATATACTCTAGTAAAAAGGTTCTCAAGCAATTAGATGAAAAAGTTATTTGTAAATTCTTATTTTAAGCAGCAATTTTTGAGATGATAAAAAGGTTTAATGATCTATGACCAATTACAGACAACGTCTAGACAGCCACCTGTCCATAAGTCGCGCGAGTATCGTGCGATAGTATTAATACCATTAATGAGTACACATTTCAACACACTAATGTTCACAGATGGCCGTCTAAGCATAGTCTATAGTTGACTATTTTCAAACCGCGTCGTTATCTTAAAAACTGCTGCTTAAAATAAAAATAAAAACGAATAACCTTTTTACTTAACTCTTCGAGTATTTTCTTGCTATAATAAATATTTCGAATCGCGAATTTTCAGACATTCAAGATTAAATGTACAAATTTTAAATGTTCGACAACTATTTAACAAAACATTTTTCCCTAAATTTTATATATCTAAAAAATGTAACACGAAAAGCTGTATTTTTATGACATAGACGATAGAAGACGAGTCGATATGACGAATGTAAAGACGAGCACCGTACGTGTACGACACGTGCTCGATTACGCAGCGCGCTGCGACTTGCGATCAGCGCGAGATCAGCTGTTAGTTCACACCGCCAATTACGAGTCACGCGACTCTCGAGGTTCTTGTCCCGACTGACACACATGCGCATTGTATGCCTACCTTTAATCGTCTCACGAGGCACCGCGGCGTTCAGCGCCTCGTCTCGTCTCGTCACGTCTCTCGCGCGGTCCAAATTCCCCGCTAAATACCCGATTAACTCTTGACCCCTGCGTGACCGCGTTGTCCGAGCACGACGTTGCGCAATTTTTAGTCGGTGCTATTTTTAAACGCGCCGGCGGAATGTTATTAGCGTGGCTCATTTCCATGTCTACTCTCTGCTTTCCAAACATCTCCTCAAGGCTTCTAAAATTCCTGTCTCGCTAGCCTTCCATTTTCAACGCTGAATATCTTAACTGAGAATCTCAAATTACGAATTTATTAAAATAAACTCGATTGGTAAGGAAATAAGATTTTTATTAAATCTGTTTAAATCTTTAGAGTTTAGTTAAAATATAAAAAAACTTCTTTATTTAATTGTTTAAGTATAATTTTAAAATTATTGATATCCTAATATTTTATTAAAAGAAAAATCCAAATTTATTTAAAGAAATCGCAAACAAAAGACGATTCAATAAATTTCCAATATCCTACGAATATGTATCAACGTTTTCTTCGAGAAACACGATTTAGTGTAGTCGGTTTAGTATTTGCGCCGTGAAATACTCGCCGTAGTCCGTTCCCACGATTGACCTTACTTCACAAAGGTGGCACAAAGCTGTAGGGAACAAGTTCGCAGGTAAAGATTTACGAGGGTCCGTCGTATTCATGCCCAACAGCGCTAACCGTACCGTCTGATATCGAATTTTATTTTTTCGTACAAACTTCATCTTATATATTTATTAATATATATTCACTGTGTCAGAATAACATAATCTTATATGTAACAAAATATTATTTAGAAATTAAGACAAGATATTATTGTATAAAATAAATAAGAAATATTCTATTACAAAAAAATCGTAAAATCATAAAATAAGATTTGGATAAACTAAAAATGCCGTAAACATTTCCTACTTCTTATTCATATATCACATAGTATCACTTCAGATTGAAAATCAAACGTACATGGAACGTTAAAAATAAAACATCAATATAAGTAGAACCTGAACACCGATCATGTGATCGGACCGTTCGCATCAGCTGATACTTGACAGTGGTGACGTCAGCGTCCTGACAGCTTCGTTCAAAAATTGAACGAACGCTGTCACACGACAGTGAAGCTAATGGTTTAAGTCCCGACATAACTAGGCGAGCGATCCAAACCGATTGTACGAGGATTTAGTTGTATAGCGTGGGATCGGGCGCCGACTTTCACATGGTAAAATTGGCCGAAGAACCAAAGCGCGCGGTGATTCATAAAGGCCGCCGGTGGCGGCGGCTTGCGTAACATCACGACGCGCAAACGCAAAGAGAACGATTGAGTTTTATTGACGAATTCACCTTGCCAAAAGAGAGGTAGGTCGTCGTTTCCGGTCCATGTGTCAGTCTGACTCGGCTAGACATCGTGCGTGTTGGCCCTAATGTAATAAAATTCTTCCGGTCGGATGATACCACCTTAACTCGCTATTCTGAGGCGCGGGATCCGTCTGCGTTTCTCAAATAACGGTTAGAAAGTCTTCAAATACGTACCGAGATTCCTTATTTGGCGAATGCAGAGAAAATTCTTTTTTTTTTTCTTTCATTTTTCGGCACTGTGTACGTGCAAAATTAGACGAAAAATAAAATGCGACTCATTTATATGTTTAATGAGAGCGTCAATGCATGCCAGCGGTATTTTCGAATTGTATGACCAAACAAGAGTAATCGATCTTTTTTATATGTTCGCTAATACATGTCGAGAAGGAGGTCTTCTCTTTAAAGAAAATAAATTATAAAAATATCTTGCAAAGCAATAAATCATGCAATATCGATCAGTCGGATTTTCACGGCATTATTTTTCGTTATCATCGTTACTTTTTTTGTATGGTCTTACATAAAATCTAATACCGCCAAACAAAGATATAAATTAATCTCTAAATGCATATCATTAATTATGTCATTTGACAATTTTATATATATATAAAATTCATCATTCCATTTCCAATACTGTGCTTTTAATTTTTATTACTGTACGGAAACAAACAATAAATATTTATAGTCGAATGCATTTAAAGATTAATAGTAATGGAAACTCGGGGCTACTGCGAAGAAGTAAACAATTCTATCAATTGTATCCGATAATTGGAGTCACGAATTCATCCAACGAGTATTCATATATAACATCTTGCGGGAAACAATTCCTGACGACTCCACTTGGACTATTGGATGCTCAAATACTCGCACAACGTCCCAACGATCCGAAATAATCACATATCGATTGAGTGCGTCGCTGGAGTTCGAAGTGTTCAAACGGAAAGTCAAAAAAAATCGCAAAGTGGTACTAGTACAAAGGCGTGACCCACTCTTACGATACTGGCGATAGTATCTCTCGATTTTCCTTTTGTGCACGAGCGCGGCATAAAAGATATTTCGTGCACGCCACATCTTGCACATGGACGAAATGAGAATTTTCCAAGTTTGGATGCATTACGACAAAGGAAAGGAAAAAAAAATTATGCGATTTATGATGAGACACTGCTTGCACAATATAAGCAATCGTGCATTAAGATTCGAATTATCCTCATGCAATGATTTTCGACTAATCTATTTGCGCGGAGCTTGGACAAAATTAAGTTCATGTTTAATGCTTCATGACTTTCATTAAGATCTAAACATCTTGCGATTTTATGTGATAAAAATTAAAACATTTATTAATAATTAATTTTTTTTATGTTAAACAATATTTTTCTCTCTTATGAGACACATGCAATGATTGTGCATTCCTTCTAATGTATCCATGAAAAGACGTGAATACGAAGCGATGAATGGATGAATGAGCTTATTACTCAAGCTTGATCGACTATTCCTCCAGCACAGGAAAAATTTATTGGAGGAAGTGTTCTTCAGTTCTTTTACAATGATTCATACCGAATGAGCAAGCGATTCAAGCTACGAGGAATACGACGATAACGATAACACTTCGCATGGATACAATTCTCATTTCAACCAAAAAGATTGATCATAATACCAAGTATGCCTCGCACATTCTCGTATCGGCACACCTGATTTCTTGTACAATACAACGTACAACGTACAAAAAAAAAACGCATTTTCAGTAACCAAACCAGAGTCGTGGAGAATAAAAAATAAATTTTCTTCTCATCATTATAAAAAAAAATTAGAAACTTTACATAATTGAAACGTACATTAAAACAATACTTAATAAAATTGAGCTCACGATATCTTTCGTTATATGTGATGTATATTACAATAATAATTAAATAATTTTACATTTAAAATATCTTATTTAATATTATAAGGTTTCTATAATAATTCCATTTTTTAATTACTAACCTTTATAAAAATCTAATAATGGCCAATTTAACACTAAACAAACAATAATTACTTATTTCAAATATTAAAAGTATTATTGTTCAATGTTCCAAATAAGTAATTAATTACTGTCTTTCAATAATAAATTGGCCAATAATAGATTTCTATAAAGGAATATTTTATGAATAAATAAAATAACAATAAATAATAATAATTTTTGATTATTCAAAATATAAATAAAATACACGACTCTGGCCAGGGATCGATATAAAAACCACTTACCTTAGACAGCTTTTCGCCCTCGTGATGCGGCAGCAACGTCCTCAGCGATTGGAATCCGGCATTGATACTCTGCATACGACGTCGCTCGTTGCTGTTGGCGATTTCTCGCCGCATTCGCTTCTCCTGCTCCATGTGGCTGCGCGACGCAACACGGCCAACGTTGATACCGTTTCCGTTGCTCAACGCAACGTTCTGACTAGCAACCCGCCGACCAGCCCCGACGTTACCTTTTGATTGCGGCGGTTGTTGCCGCTGCTGCGGTTGCCGTTCTTGAGTATCAGCGACTTCGGCGACCGTCACACTCGTGGTCACCGAGCCGTCGTCCACCGTCTCGACGCTCCTGCGGACAAATAAATTATAAAGCACATAAATATATTTTTTTTACATCATTTGAAGTTGATATTTTATTTTAATCAATAAATTCTATACAGTGAAGTCTTATTAACAAAAGTTGAACGTACAATGCTAATCTAGACTCAGTTTCACAACTCTTAACCGAGGTTCAACTTATCTCTCATCTCTTTCCAATTCTAACATTAGAAAGAGATGAGGAATAAGATAAACCTCGGTTAAGAGTTAACCATGAGTTGAATGAGAACTGGGCCTCTCTTAAGAAGGTTCTCCAGTCATAAAACACATATTAATATTTATGCTTTAAACAAACTACATACATGTGAAAGTTGTGTTTCATAACATTTTGTTTTCATTGAACAACACATTTTTATAGATTATTTATTTTATTTGTTATTAGTTTTATTGTTATAAACAAAAATTTTTTAAA